ACCAGAATGGAGGGTGATAGAACATCTGGTTTATCACCTAATAGTGATGCTGATGATAAAAATGAAATTAACTTGTTAAAAAAATTAAAAGGAAAAACCTTTGTCCTTTATGGAAAATTAACATTTTGTTAACCTATTAGCTATTTCCCTAAAACTTAATAAAGTGAGCTATGTTACCAGTCAAGACTGCTTTTTATAAAATGATCCATGGTTGGTAACTACATATGGACTAAGAGGGCTATGAAATATACGTATAGTCACTGTGTTGGGCTTTCGTACGTATGTGATTCCTGAAATTGAGCACAGACCTTTCTAGGATCCCTGGGCTATGCCCATTCAAGAGTCTTCTAAGTCAGAGTGGCTCCTCACCTGGTCTCATCCCCTTAAACCTAACCTGTCAGCTAAGTTATCTTCTCAATTGCTAATAATATTCTGAAGAAACATACCTAATGCTGTCCTGCCAATCCTTCTAAATAAACTGGGCCAAGCATAGCTTATTTGAGTTTTGCATCAGATAAAATGCCTACTTGAGCTAAATTCTTGAGGACAGGCATTGGAGCACCTCCACTGTAAAAATAATCAACCATTCACACAAATAAGTCTTTCTCTTACAAAACATGACTACCGACAATGTGCAAAGCACTCCTGTAACATATGTATTAATATATAACCTGCTTTAAATTTTTCAAATCCATCACATTTGATTGCCTCAAATAGAATGTACCTCATAGGAAAGAAGAGTTTCTGCTACCAACAACTAAAAAGAAACATAGTCCATGACCACAGGCACAATAATCTGTACACAGGAGATAGGGGTAAACTAAGAGGCAGTCTCTCAGGAATAAAAACTGTCAAGGCCACGTGTGCCTACACTCAGGTTATCAAAATAATTCCTTTTAGGTTTATCAAATAAAATAAATCCCAAAATGGCTTGAGTCTACATGTGAGATAGAAAAAGAAGTGACAAGAATTTCATCATACCCGGCTTGTTTGAATGAATGGCCAACATGGCAGAGTACACTTTGCTAAGTTGAGTTTTGGTAGCCTGTAAAAGAGGAAAAAACAAATCTACTTCCTGCACAGAAAATTCACTGCTCTTAATTGAAAAATGATCTGTACTTCAAATCCAGTAGATCTGCTATTGCTAAAGACAAATACAGATGTACTCTTAGTTTTCTCCCACTTGAAAATTATAGATGAACTTTCTAAATATTTTTAAAATTTCAACTTCACTAAACAAGTAACACATAAAAATCAGTTCTATTCAACTAACTTGGAAGCCACTTATGTAGCCATTCAGCTATGCAAATGTCACTACACAGAAGTTCAGCCTTCTTG